CAAATATATGAGCTTTGAAAGAGAGTCATGTCCAAGCCAACTATGGATTTGAAGATGAGAGACACTAGCACAAGCCACTAGATCTAGAAAATGTAAGTAATAAAGACCATTATGTTCAACCTTTTTGTCAATCTTATTCTTAGTCTTCAAATGTTGCACAACACAAGATTCAAGAAGAAACATAACAAATACATTATGTGTGTGGGTAAAAGAACCAATTAAAACAAGGTTGAAAGAGATTGGAAAACATGTAAAATAGATGTAAGGGGAAGATAAGATAAGGGTAAAGATTTTTCAATTCAAAGAACTGAAGTCTTCGATCCATCAGCGAAGGTGAGAAAAAGGATGAGAAGGATTTGAGTGGTAGAAGGTAAAATGAGAAGGTATACCAGAGATATGATTAATGGCACGTGAATCAAAGACCCATAATTGAAAGGTGCTAGCAAACGTAGATGTTGGAGTAATATATGGCTGAATTGTAGATGGCTGAGATGAAGGCCAAGCAATAAAGGCAGCAGGCTTAAAATGGTGTGAAGTTAAAGATGTAACTAGAGTTGTAGCATGTTGAGATAAATGCTAAGTAGCCATACATTTATAGAGAACTCATTGTACCTCCTCTTCAATTAGAGTAAAATCAGGGGGGGTAGATGGAGCTGGTGGTCGAGTCGGTGGATGCATAGTGGTCTCATCCAATATAACAACATGAGCCTGAGGGATACTCATGAAGAGCATAGCAATGAACTTAGGTGTCTCCCTTTCAACCACAATGAGAATACTTAAGATAGCAATCAGATTTGCCACACTTGTTACCACATGCATCTCTATCATGTCCTCGATCTCTAGAGCCACAAGAACTATCATTATCAAAAGAAGCAGCATAAGAGGTAGCTAGGGCAATAGACTCAGGTGATGGCAAGAAAGCTACTAAAGTAATAGGCACCTAGGGGAGACGACAAAAAACTTCAATAAGAGAAAGAACTTCCAACTCTCACATGAATTGACTCTGTGTACCATCATGTTCTGTTGTTCCAACCACCCCATAGAAAGTTGATGACATTATAGCAATCTTGTTGGTGTTGCATCACTATAAGCCTCAAGCTCTATTGGTAGATCCTCCATAATGAGAGGCAGTAGATCATGTCCTGTAAAATAAACATGAACAACACGACTCCGTTGTCAATAATTCTTGGTACTCGATAAGCGTTGAGTGACAATCATTGCAACTCCATATGAAAGAGTTAGATGCATTATAAGCACTATAGGAACACTATCTCTACTCGTAGATGTCTCGGAACTATCTAAGTCATCAAACATGTCAGTGAAGAAGTGATGTACAAAAGAGTCCTTAAACACACAAACAGGCCACTACTAGAGATGTACACTTTGGATGCCCTAGGACACAAATAAGGCTAGACAGGCCCTATGGTGTGCCCTAGGATATGAAAGAGGACATGCAAGCCCCTAGGGTGGTCCTAGGACACAAAGGAGCCTGGGAGAGAGTCTACCAGCTAAAGGGCATTGATGAGCATTGTTAGGTGTGCTAGTCAGCCCTAGCAAGTGCACTAGCATGGATGCTAGCATACTGGTATGTTGTGTACAAAGGCAAGAGTGTGTCTAACATGACATAGTCATTATATAGTAAATCACATAAATTTTAAATTTATAAAATTAGAAAATACTAATTTTTAGATATTTAGATGTATTTCTAAGTAAATATATCAATTATAATTTAATAAAAAGTTCCAAAAATAGTGAAAAAAATTCATGTTGATTATAAGGATGTAATATAATATCAGGTAATATTTCATAATTTTTCTCAAAAAATATAATCTTTTATAAATTTTAGACTAAAAAATAGAAGTGAAATATATTGAAAATTTACAAAAAAGAGAAATAAGGGTGCATACATCAAGATGATGTCATCAAATGATAATGTGAATTGGATGAAAATAAAGTTGTGTCCAATGATTCTTATGTAAGTGATTATAGATGATTTAATTGATCAAATTAAGATTTGTAAAAGTTAAAAGAATTTTAATTAAATGAAAAGTAGAATACAAAATTTAAATCACATAAACTATTTATAAATAAAGTGAAAATTAAGTTGAAAGCATAAAAAATAGAGTTCCGGCATTACGTTGATGATGTATTGGTGATGCACCGTAATCTTGAGCAACTTAGAAAATTGTTATATAACATCCATAGCCTCAAAGACTCTCCTTGGATAAGGATGATGTGAAAAATCTCTATGTTTTTTTGCGAAGTTTAGAGATCAATGAAATGAGTCGTTGAATTGTCTCTAGTGGCTGCCACCCAGTAAAGTAAAAAAATAATGACTTTGCAATTCTCCGACAACTGTCATCCAACAAAGAGGAGCTAGATGGTGAGGCACGTGTAAGAGAACTTCATCCTCAAGTCTGTGTAATAAGAGAAAGCTCTTCACCACATCTAGTACGCTCTTAGAAAGTGGTGACTCATCTCATGATAGATTGTCCTCTTCCTAACGATGACTTATTCGTCGATCAATCAGAGATGATTTACTCAATAGATTTGCGATACTTTTATCGTAAATCATTCAATAATTTTAGTAACAATACTTCGTGAATCACATTGATGAGATTTTCACTGATGATCAAATAATTCTAGTGGCTTAATCCTTCACTGATGATCTACAAAAAAGTCACGATTTAATCAAATAAAACTACGAGTTGTGTATGATGATTCACAGTGCATATGTGGCCGTGTGTAGTGGTGGGCTGGTACTTGGCAGTGCCAAGTAATAGGAGAGTAGTATGGTGAGGTGGCTCTGCTCGAGGTGCTGAGGAGATGACTACTAGAGAGATGCCATGGAAATTGCAGAGTGGTGGCTAAGGAGATGGTGGTGCCATTAGAAAATCCTAGGAGGGCTCTCATACCATGAGGAGAGAGAAAATCATATTAAGAAATGAAAAGAGGGTGAAGCCCCATACATATATGGGTGAGAGAAGAGTGAAAGTGGGCCAGGCCTATAAACATATATATATATATATATATATATATCTACACATATCAATTTGGTTATCTCATAAGAATCAAATATTAGTAAAGTATAACCAATAATGTGTCAAGATAAAGTGATGATTTAGTAATAAAAAGTTATTCTAGATGGCCAAAAATAAAATATGAAAGTCAAATAAATATTTTGAATCATGACCTCAATTTTTATAATCATAATTTGGTGATTTAGAATACTTAAATAATCATAACCAATTGAATGAGTAATATGACTTAAATTAATTAGTTTCATGTCAAAATCATTCAAAAGTGATGATGTAATATCATTTTCACATCCATATTTTAATTTATGAATTCTTGTTGATTTGGATGTCTTAATCAATCTTTTATTATTATCTTAATTTGTACAATATTAACAATTTCACAATAATATACAAAGTAATAATTCCACGTAATATAATATATCGTGCTATAGAATTCGATATAATGAGATTCAAAATCATTCATTGAAGTCTAATGTGAACATTTGTCATTATTACTTTAAATTATTTTTGAATTTTTATTTAATTAAATTATATATTTCATATAAAAACTATTTATTCATTCGTCAATTTAGTAGCAAATAAGTATAACTAGCATTTTCATCATGAAAAAAATATTAGTTTTATTGTGAATTAATTAGTTTTACTATTCATGACTGAATATAATCCTTAGATGATAAGAGGAGTATGAGAGGATTTATTTTACATTTTGGATCAGGTTTGGTAGCATTGAGGTCTAAGATAGAAGAATTGAAAATATTGCAATCCTTTGAAAATATTTTTATGCATCGTCAGCTACATAAATAGTTGTAGGAATGAAAAAGATCAGAAGAGTTATGAGTATGCCAATATAAAGTTCAATGGGGATCTGGTGAAGATTTATATCCATAACTATAATATAGTATTTAATCAAGAAATATATTGAGATTCATCATCATCATTTATTTAATATCAGGTTTCTACTCATTTAATCGAGTTATAACTTTTGTTCAACAAAAGATCAAGTGACTTATAGAGTTCCAATGGTCCTAATTTGATTAAAGTTCCTAAGTTACATGGTGCCATCATCTTTTCAGTGTTGGAGGTAATGTTGTGGTAATGAAGATAGTGACAGTGGAAAATGTGCAAACTTAAGACTTGGAAATATCGAATGACATGGCCCCATTGTCCATTTAGGTGGGAATACCAACTTTTACTATTGTTTTCTAACTTTTAGTATTACCCATTATCCTCTCTCTCACGTATATCCACTACGTAAGCCTTTTTCGTTCTTCGCAGACTTATATCCACTCTTGTATTAGCGCTCAGGTTTCTCCGATGTGGTCCTCATCTACCTCATCTTCTCCGGTCATTTATCTTTCAGATTTGTTCTTTTATTAGATAATTCAGATTTATTCTTCCTATACGGTGTAAGGGAAACGGAGGGAGGCACCGGCTGGGAGAGTGCGAAGGAGAAATTGTGAGCAACGACCGCCGCGGTGGCGACGCGCCGACGGTTCCCCAGCTAACTTTGAACCGACGCCCGCAGTCCATCGTTCCACGATGAATCAAAAAAATGGAGGAAGAAAATCCCACCAGCCAGCCCGGCCACTGCCCTGCCTTCTTCTCCCTTTCTTCGATCCCTCTCTGCATCTATCTGAGCCCGAGAAGATCGCGTCCAGGAGGGGTTGGAGCCCCAAAGATAGAGCTTCTTGGAAGCCTTTCCCATATATATTTGGACTTTATCTAAGGATCTTCCCATTCACGAAACGGGCTGTTCAATCCTACGAGAAACAGAAAGGAGCAAGGAGGACGACGAGGTTGCGAGAGAACAGCGACAGAAAGATGCTTAAGAGGGAAATGGAGAGAAGACAGTCCGAGGTGAAATTGGAGATGGAAGTTCTTTTACAATTTCCGATTGGAGAACGAAAGATCAAGATGTAGACGTGGTTTCAAGAAATGATACAGGATCGAAACGGTGGGAATTCAAGAATAGACGCATCGGCGGCACAATGGGCATTGGCAGCTGATGCGGCTCCACCGCCTGATGCAGTCCGCGTGGAAGATGTGGCCGCAGGGTAGACGACAGGCCTCGGCCATTGCGGCCATCCTCTCGAGGCAGATGGTGCAGTCCTCCCTCTCTTCCTCGCCTCTGGTACACTCGGATGTCACGACGGCGGACGACGGCACGGTCACCACTCCTCGATCCTCTTCTTCAGTCCCATCGTCCTCATCAGTTTCCCCGCCGTCCTCCGGCCGCCGCTCTCCTTCCTCCTCTTCACCGAAATTCATTGACCACCCTTGACCTCGTCCCAACTCGCGGGCTTCCACCGAGATCTGCAGGCGGAGACGTCGACCACCCCACGACACGGATCCTCGCGGAGGCACATAAACCTTTACACGGAATCGCACGTCTCCGATGAACCCAGAAGAAGCACGGTTGCCGGCGTATCTCCCCACAAGCTCCCGCAAGGACGACCGCAAGCAGTGGAGAACTTCGTCCGGAAGCCGCCCCGAGAGCAGGACGGCGATGTGGTTCGCCACCAGCCCCCCAGCGTCCTGGGTAGAGAGAGAGACCTGAAGCTCGACGGAGAACAGACCTCTGCTAATCCTCGCCATCTGAAGGGAGAGCAACCGGAAGCAGATTTGGCGGAATTTCCAAGCCGCTAGCGCTTAGCCTCCTTCTCGTCTCGGTTGAAAGGTAGAGCAGCTCACAAAAAAACAAGGCCTGGGCAGTTGGCGAAACTAGTTTCGCGGTCTGCGGAACAGTCGCCGGAAGAGGCGGAGTGGAGGGGAAGGGAAAGCGAGAGAGTTTTTCGAAAAGGGCGACTCGGAAAGTGGCGGGAAACAAATAAGACTAGATGCTGCCGGACGCTCGCCGCGCCCGGGTAGGACGGGACGAGGAAACGCGGCCCTGGCAATGCATCAGCCAACTTTCTGAAGGCCCAAAATCATCTCTCTCTCTCTCTCTCTCTCTCTCTCTCTCTCTCTCTCTATCTCTCCTTCCCCTTCGACTTTCACTAAACTTATTCTGCGCCAAAATTAACGGCTCTGGCGGGGTATTATTACGGTTTAATAAAAGTGTGTTTGACAGCGAGAGATATGTATATAGATTGTTGCGAGTTAGTCTCGTACCGAGTCTAACCTCACATATGATTAGTAGGCTAATACTTTTTTATATCCTCATCATCGCAGAAATAGATATATGAGAAGATATTGGGTCCATGGGCTGGGGGCGGACGGCACGTCAGATAGCTCGCCTACTCGTGGCAATTACTCGCTCCGAAATCTCCGGAGCCCAACTTTCTGTTGCATCCAACCTCTCTCTCTCTCTCTCGCTCTCTCTCTCTCTCGCTCTCTCTCTCTCTACTTTACACGAATGGCGACCAAGCGAGGGAAGCAATAAGAAAACCCAAATTAAACTCCAGGACATGTCGAATCGGGATCTCAAAGAGAGAGAGGGAGGGAGAGAGGAAAAGGGTAGTGGTGGCGGCAGACGGTTTGGGTCTTTCTCCTTCTTCCTAAAGCTTCCAATTCCTCAGCCAGTATATGCATAAAACGGAATGGAGATAACCCATCTCAACTGCATCTAGATAGATCTCTTGCATTCATCTACTGAGAATGCTCGGACCACCACTCCAGGCGATGTCGCATACCGGGTCTCCATCTCACTCTGGAGGCGGTTGCGGCCAGGCACGGTCTCGACCATTGCATCCTTCTTGATAGAGAATGTGGGGAGATATACCGCCGACCCTCCGCTGTCCCCATTGTTTCTGGTCCGCATGTGGACGTACGTAAACACCACACAGGTCCGTTCCTGCGGGCGATATCTTGTTTACGGGGTTCGTATTTCGCTGGAAGAAGGCCAAGCCAACAAAGAAGCGGCGGCCGAAGACAGCCAGTAGGAGCGCGAAGACCTGGCGGCATATGGGGACGAAATGGCAATGATGCCGGGAACCGTCGAGACCTACAAGCTGATCGACGACAAGGTTGTCGAAGAGGAGCACGACGAGGATGAAATGACAATGCTGCTGGCAAACATCGATACCTATGAGCCGATCCACGGCGAGGTGGTGGAGGACGAAAATCATGACTACCACTACCACTATAACTACAACTACGACCACGACTACAGATAGGTGACAGATGAGGATGAAGAGGCAACGTTGCCTGCTAACGTTGAGACCTTCGAGTGGATGGATATCGAGGAGGAAAACTGCATCATCTGCCTCAAGAGAATGGCAGCACATCGACTACACCCAGCAGTGGATCCGTGTCGACGTCTGGTGTCCGTTATGCCGTTGGTGGGTAGATTCTTGATCTTTTTCGGTCAGTTCAGTGGATTGATTCTACAGATCCTGCATAAGAAGAATTTTAATCTGGATACATGGGGACATGGTCTGGAGATGGTGTAGCCTTTAATAGGCTAGAAGAGACGTTGACCGGCTGCTGTATCTTTAGCTACTCAGACGTAGATAAGGATCAATAGCCCAGGAATAGGAACTTACAGGATATGCAGAAGCATATCAAGCTCCGTTTGAGGCAACAAAGTCAGCATCAAAAAATAGGAAAAGGTCAACGACGGCCCATCCACATTTACACAAAGTCAGCATCCAAAAATGGGTAAAGGTCCAGAAACTCGCCATCAATGGCAAGAGATGGACAGGAGGAGGAGCAGCGAGAGCCAGAGACAACGGCGGATGAATAGAGTTTGAGGAAACTTTCTGAAAATATGAGCTTTGACTTTTCAGGCCGCTTTAATCTCCTTAACTTGAGATTATACATTACCCTTGTGGTCTATTAACCTATAGGAACTAGAAAACATACAACAAGAGCAATGGAAAAACCAAAAGCTAAAACTGATAAAATAGCCAAAAACCTTTCGTTTTCTGAACGACTCCAAGAAAAAGAGACCATGATATAATGGCACAAATTCCTCTACTACAGTCTAGGAACGAGAAAGAAATTCGCGTACTGAAGACCGCAGAGCTCTTGGGTTCCATAGCAGAGGCCACTTGAGCTCAGCTTTGTAATCTCCTCAGTAGCGATCATCAAACACATCTCTTTCATGGCCAAACACATGTCTTCACATGGTCTCAGATATTCTAGAATCGTAATTAGCACATCTCTTTTAAACCTACTAGAATTTATGTTAATGAATCATTATTCTAGCAGCAGCTTGGGATACTTTCCATCTCTTTGATGATGATGAAAAGGGGGAGAAAAAGCATAAGTATTTTGGCAAAGAACCAACACCATTGAGGGGCAGAAATAATAAGATTTTCGAAGAATGATGAGAGGGAAGATAGGGAGAGTATATGAGAAAACGGGAGCACTAAAAGAGTAGAAGAAAATTATGAATTATTTTCTATTGTTATGTTTGAATTTGGATTATATTGTCTAAATACGTGACATGACCTGTTCCAAGCAAATAGACATTAAATTATGAACATACTTCTTCATAAATCCTATCATCTAAATAATAAATATTTCAAAATCTAGAAAGTATAGTTTATTCATCATTGAGACATTTTTATGGCTTTGTCATTACCAAAAAAATAAAGATGGCTAAAACATTAAACAACTCTTATTTTGATGATGAAGAACATAAATAAGTAATTAAATTTTCAATTATAATTATTTATCATTAAATTGATGAATTAATAAATATTATTTTCTATTCAATATAGAATTAAATTAAATATACATTAATAAACACAAATAGAATTCAATGATTTTTTAAAAATCTTAATATGATAAATTCTTTAATTTGGTAGGTATTCTATTTTGGATATTATTGTGGAAACTATCATCATTCACACAACATTGAACAATGATAAAGATTGATTAAAATATTAAAAATGATGAAAATTCGTGAGGTAATATATGAATATAAATGTTTATCAGTCTAGTATGAATTTATCATGTTAAGACAGTATTTTGAATAATTTTTATTTTGAACAAATCAATGAAATCCAGATTCCTTATTCTACTACACATTATATTCTAAATATTAAAAAATATAATTTATAAAAAATGTAAATATGATTAATCACCAAAGTTACCAATATAAATGTTGAGGATCATGCTTCAATGTTCCTATTAAATGAATTTATTTGGATATATTTTGATTGATAATTTTTCCTTTTATTTAGACACATATCATAGGTCCTATTTTAACTATATTGGATCTTCAGTAAACTAGTTCAAATTGAAACAATTTAAATATGGATGTTGTAACTTAGTATATCATTTGTTAGTTTTTCATGCAGATACCCAAAATATTAAAGGACATGTCATATTGATTTTCAAGCCGTTCCATTTTCTTCCCTTTTTAAAATACTATTATTGAGAGATGTCAAAAAAAAATTTGAGGCTTTCAAATTTGAGTTTTCAATAAATAAAGTACATTTCAAATTTGACTACTTCTAACCCTTCTAAAATCTTAAGTTTTGTGAAAAAATTGTGAGATCTTTCTTGGTTGATAATAACACGAAGACAACAAGTCAACAAACTATTTTCAAGTGATCAATGATCATCTTTACTATATTAAAATAGTAACGCCTTTCACATTCAATGAGATTTTTTATGAGAAGAGGACAACACCATCTTCAAAAAATAACACATTTTGAAATCCTATGAGAGTTAACTTTGGTAATCAATGGTTATGATTGAGATTTTGGATCTAGTTGAGCTTAAGAGCTCAATTATTTTTGGAGAGTAGATGTAGGTAGAGAGAAAAACAACTTTAAGAATCATTTTACATTTTAGATTTATATCTTATAAAATATTTATATTATCAGATAAATAATATTAAGAAAAGTAGATAAAAGTGAACTAAAGTCAAAATCAGAATCCAACCAATTCAACCCCCATTCTTGATCGATGTATGGCCTAAAAGACATTAGTATTTTGGATAGAAACCATGAACGCAACATGCTATTTGGTGTCATCCATAATTATTGAGTTTAAAATCTAAAGGTGATTTAGCTTGATTCTACTTCTCAATGTTTGTATTTCAAAAAATTTGGCAAGAGAACGAGCTAGAACTGAAGTGTTCAATGGAAACTAATGCAACATGAGATGTTGTACATCCCCAATGAGATAAATGATGTGTTAAAGAATATTATACTATAATATTAAAGCCCCAAAAAGCTATCTTGCATCAAAAGAAATACTAGTTAACAAAGGATAAAAATAGTATCTAAAAGTATGATTATCTTACATGATAGATTCTGTTTGTGAATCATAGATAAGTATTGAATTGACAGAGCTATACTCTCATAGAGAGTCCATCACATTATGTGCATATTCTGACTGACAAATAGATATTTAACAAAAGGTTTTACCTATAAAAGCATGAGACATAAAAACTAGTAAAAGTTTAATTCATTGTAGAGATTAAGAAGCGTAAATTGGTTTTACCTGAAGAAAGAAGAAATTAATATAGAAATTGTTAGACTCATTTCAAGATTGGCAGAAAAGGGTTTCATTTTCATACAACTAGAGGGTATTGACTCAAGTGAGACATTATAATCTAATAATCTCCACTGGATATCCTAAGAAAATAATTTAATTTCAATTGAAAAAGTCAAAGGAGGGAAAAAGAGAGAGAGACA